ACTGGCTGCAGTTCGTTCATTCACAATTAAATGCGGCGGCGGAATGTCGGTTTAAAACCGACGATTAATGCGTGAAACGCATTAATCAAGTTTGCCACATAAGAGCCATTTCATGACTCGTAGCTATGCTGTGTTAGTATATTATTATTAACATTAATATTACTTAATGTTAATATTAATGTTATTAATAACAGTGCAACGGGTACTGTTAGCTTCTTCGTCTTTGGGATACATACCTAAGTAGCACAAATTAATCGGCAAATCATTTTGCCGACTAATAGTACCGCTTAGATAACCCCTCGGAATACTGAGCCCCTCTGCCACGTCAAGGCCGTACCCATTAGAGGGGTATTTTTTACAAAAAGTTGTGAATTTCAAAGAAATAAGTCGCGAAATATATATATATAAAATCTTATTATAGAATCGTCATTTCGATATACTTGATATGAATTGTGAATGATATCACGATAAGCATTTATTATTGCATAAGATATTATTTCATAAGATATAACAACGTTTAGTTTAAAGAAATGCGGAGCGACACGCACCACGACTTATCCGTACGAACGCCGGTGAATGAATGGTAGCACGTGAACCATTTATAAATACGACTCGCCCTATGTACACAATGGAACGCGCTACGCGCCGTATGTAAACATTTCTCAAGGCTATACCATCAATGATCTGACTACGACGAAATATTCAACAATATTACAAACAATATCTGAGTTACACGAAACTACATCTTTTATGCCCGATTTCATCAACGCAGATTAATTTTAATCTCGATCTAACTTATTCTTCATCTTTTTCTCTAATTCTAAGAATTAGATGGAATCGGGCATTAGTAACCGAATATTAAATAATGTGTGTATATATTTTATTAGAGAGTATCGTTTCGATATGCTTGTAAATCATTAATTTATCAATTCATTCACTCACTTAAATCCGCGTGGAATGTCGATTAAAAATCGATGACTATTGCGTATGTTATTAATATTATCGTTTGATAATATGATATTAATGTTATTAATAATATATTAATAATATACGCAATAGTCGTCGATTTTTAATTGACATTCTACTGCTGATTTAAGTGAATAAATAAACTGCAGCCAGATTAATGATTCATAAATATATCAAAGCGATAACTCTCTAATGAAATAAATACATACATTATTTAATGTTCGATTATTTTATGTTCGCTATAGTGTAAGTTAGATATTATTTGTAATATTGAATTATTAATAATGATGCAATGGGTACTGTTGGCTTCTTCGTCTTTGGGGTACAGAACCCCTCGGAATACTCAGCCCCTCCGCCACGTCAAGGCCGTACCCCATCGGAGGGGTCATCATTTACAAAAAGTCATAAATTTCAAAGAAATAAATCGCGCGACATATGTATATATACTTTATTAAAAAGATATTGTTTCGATATATTTATAAATAGTCAATCATTGATAAGCATTTACTATTATATTCATTTGATACGGCAACGTTTCACGGTATCATTTAACAATGAAAGAATATGAAGAAACGCGGAGCGATTACGCGCTGCTACCTGTTCGAACGCCGATTAAGAAAGAGTAGCACGTGGAACGCTCGTAAACATGGCGCGCGCTGCGCGCCGCACATACCATAGCCACGACTCGTAAACAGTCTTGAAGGCTACGATATCTACAACGTGTGTGAAATGAAATATTCAATTATATTACGAATAATATTTAACTAATACGAAGATCTATAACGTCTTTTGACTCAACATTAAATGCTGTAATCGTTACGTTTTAACATGCCTTCTGAATAATTCTATTATCGTGCCTTTACTGTTTTGTTTAATAGACTCGTTACGTTAGATTTATGAAAAATGGATATCTTGTATATCTTAAGTGTGTTACAATAAACAACTGTTATAAAAACAAAAAAAATAGCTGTCGCTATACGTATGTATTATAAAATGCTATACAAATTACGATAAAATCCAGAATAAGAGAATTTAATGTAAAAATGTTTAATGTTAAAAATATTGAATTGACCATTATTATAAAAATAATCGTTCGTAATTACCGTGAATCTATTATCATATGTATTATATCTATTATCATTATAATAAATAAGAATAAGATTAAATTATACTTAACACTTTCGACGATCGGTATTTGTGATATTTGTAAATTTTTATTTCACACAAAATTTAATTAATATACTGTGAATATGTTAAGAATTAATTTTATATTACACTTCAGTCTGTTAATGATAAAAGGCCGTATAAATTATATATATTCTCCAAATATTGGAGAAAACTCACTACAAAACTCCCGAATATATTTTTTTAATATATATTTATTTTTAATACATAAGACTTACTCAAATCATGCTTCTTTTGATTTATTTTTGCTCTTAGTTTCTTTGTAATTTTTTTTTTAATACATATATATTTCCTATAATGTAAATATTGTCAATTATCAATAAATTATAAAAGATTTAAATATTAAACAACGATAAGTTATAAGAATAATTGTATAATATATAATTATGTGCTAAAAAAATCTAATTATGAGGGTTTTTATAAAAATAAGATAATATTTGTCAGACTTTATTTTTATTGTATATGTATATGAATATGAATATGAACATATTGATAAATGTATATATTAATGTTCATTAATATTTTAGTCTATAACATTAGTCTATAACAAAAAAATTATACGAACGTAAATAGATGTGTAATTGCGTAAGCATACTCTTGCATAAACTACTCTCACCTATGAATTGTAAAAATAACACAGAATAAGATTTTATCGGCAGTACCGGAAAATGGAAGTGGCTATTTAATTCGTATATGTTAAAATGAAATTTAGAGATGCTAGTACATGCGTGGTATATAGAAATTTCGATGGTCTCATGAAAAAAAGATGAGATAACCGCTTTCAAGTTTCTCTCTTAAATTAAATATTAGATTTTTTGACATATAGTCCATCGAAAAATTTTTATGTGTCCCAATGTGAGTGGACGTGTCTATTGAGACACTTGACACATGATGGCGCTCGAATGCCCATATATCGATTGGCCAATTTTTTGATTGGTTGATCTAGTGGAAAATCTCCAGGCAAATCTCCAAGGCATCGATCGCTGTAAGTGGTTATGTCCAATTGAACGTAGTCAAATTGTACAGGCGTTATGTTTGCTGAACACAGTTATTTTTGTTCAACATGCGAGTTCGTTCTTTACTTGTACGTATATAATAAAAATTCGAAAAGTGGTTAAGTGTTTGTGTTAATAATTTGAGAAAATATTTTATGAATTTGCTCTTATAGAAATGCATTGAAAATGAGCATGAATCACATGTAACACGAGACTTTACAGAACTTTTCTTTACAAGTGATTCGATTGTCTCATCTAATCATAATTGTTTCATTCTTTGTCTCTTTAAATTTTCTCGTGTTCTTGATGCTGTGATCGTGGTGGATCGTGATTCGTGACTTGTCGGCCTGTGTTGGCGCCGTTTGGAAGCTGCAGCCATTTTCCAGGAGTATCAGTATCCTGACGCTGTCCTATAAATTTCGACGATTTAAGGAATTATACAGAAATTATTAGTTGGATACAAATCATGACTTCGAAAATGTGTAAGAAGGACATCCTGCAAGCTGTTATTCTTGCGGACGATTTTACAGAGAGACTAACTCCTGCACAGGATTTATTTCCGAGCATCCTGATACCTGTGATAAACATACCGCTTCTCGATTATACGATCGCAACGTTGAAAAAATCGAGAGTACAAGAAGTATTTCTCTACTGCAGCAGTCACATAGATCAGCTTAAGAAATATGTGAGTGAAAAGATTTATAAAAACATCACGATTACCTTGATCATCTCTGATGGCTGCAGGTCTCTTGGAGATGCTCTGCGAGATATTGACACGAAGGGCTGGATCAGAGGATATTTTATACTGATCCGTGGAAATGCATTCATCAATACGGATCTTAAAACCTTACTCAATGTTCATCGTTTGAAAGTCGAGAAGGACAAGGGAGCAACTATGACCATGGTATTACGAAATTTTGGTTCGATGAAGGAGTTCTCCCTCCATGAGGAAGCATGTACAATTGTCATAGATAAATCTAGCAATAAGATTCTGCACTATAATAAACGGACGAATAGTGAGAAAAAAGTAAAGATGGAGTTAAACTGGTTTCTTTATCACAGTGAGGTGGAAGTTAATTGTTGTCATTTGGATACTCATATTTACTTGTGTTCACCATCTGTTTTGCCACTCTTTGCTGATAATTTTGACTTTCAGGTAAGTAAAACAAGTTAAATTACTTTTTTATTCAAATTGTCAAGTTTAACATGATTATTTTTAATTATGATTCAATAATATTTTAATGAAATAGATATAATATATAGAATATTCTTATATGTTTAGACTATGGATGATTTTATTCGAGGAGTATTGATGAACGAGGAGATATTGGATTCAAGGATTTATTGGCAGCAATTAAACACAGAAGATTATGCTTTGCCAATTACATCGTGGAAAGCTTATCATCTGCTTACTCGAGATATTCTACATAGACATAGTTTCCCCCTTGCACCAAATACTTTCTTCTTATTGAATAAATTTATATGTATGACGCAGAGTACATACAAACATGAAACTGTTACTTTTGCTAAAGGTTGTATATTAGAAAGTGATTGTATTCTTGGATTTAATAGTGCATTAGGAAATAAGACTAAAGTTGCAAGATCTGTTATTGCAAATGATTGCATCATAGGTAGTAACGTTATTATATATAACTCTTATATCTTTTCAAATGTCAGAGTCAAAGATAATTGCACTATTAAGAACAGTATTGTGTTCCCAGATTGCATTATTAGATATCGTAGCGAAATAGATGGATGTATACTTTGTCCTGGAGTTGATATTGCTGCTCGAAGTCAATATGCGGATTTCATTATTAAATTTACATCTTGTGATATAACTAAAATTAAAATGACAAATCTTAATCTTGAGAAAGACTTTTTTTACTTTAAGAACATTCATGAAAAAGAAGTAGAATACTTAACAGATACATCTAGCAGTGAAAGCGGCAATTCTCCGATTCCGGATGATACGAGTATGTTTTTATCCGAAGTTATTGATAGTTTGTTACGTGGTTATCAAGATAAACTCAAATGCGACAACTTAATTTTGGAAATAAATTCGTCGAGATATGCATATAATGTCACTATCCACGAAGTGACGTATAATGTTATCAAAGCAATTCTCTGTCTGCCATTTCATTATCTTTCCGAAACAAAGACCACCGTTTTTAATTTAAACTATCAAAAGTATCTGAAGATTATGACAAGTTATTTTAATACTATTATTTTGAATTATGTTAAGAATGAAGATGCGCAGGAAGATTGTTTGCGTGCTATAGAAGACGTTGCTAGTACAACTGCCGAGTTGCTACCATACACGCCACATCTGTTGCATCAGTTTTACGACCGTGATATACTGTCGGAAGAAAAGATTTTACAGTGGTACGAAAAATATCCGAATTCAAAATATAGTCCAAGAGACAAAGTGAGAACTGCTGTCCAGCCATTTATTAAATGGTTGCGAGAGGCGGAGGAAGATTCTTCTGAAAGTAACGATTAAAAATGTTTTTCATTAAAAACAATTTTATGTAAAAATTATATAAAGTATAATGTTAAATTATATTAACATATGAATGTAATAAGAAATTGCATAATTATTACATATGCATATATATATATATATATATATATATATATGTGTGTGTGTGTGTGTGTGTGTGTGTGTGTATGTATATGATAATTATGCAATAATTATGTGTAATAAGTGAATATAGTGTTTAAAAATTGTAACAAAATGGAACTAGTTCTCAATTTCTTTATTTTTGTATCAACTCTTAATGCTTCATAATACTTAAGTTTTGAGCAACGATAAATCACGCACAAATCGATAACACGCATTCCAAGTATATTATCGTGTACGCGCGTGTATAATATCCGTGTAAATGTAACTATACGTTTGTATAATGTGTCGATAAAGCCCGCATGTTTCGTGCGCATTTAATCTTGACCTGCTTTCCGATTACTGAAACAAAGCTATCATTCCATAGGTACATCCATCTCTGCCAGATTATGCCATGCCAAATGACGATGATCCGGGAACTTGATCGCATCTATCCAATGTCGTAAACGCGCTCCTTTGCTACCGCAACCTAACATAAGGCCGCCTACAAATTATAAAAATGAGCGTAAAATATAAGCATTTTTTTTACGTTGAATGCGAATAATAGATGCTTAAAACTTAGAAGAAGCGAATGAATTAATTTTAGAATTCTAACGGTTTATTAATCATAGCTAGTAGAAAAAAATTATAGCTAGTAGAAGATTAATTATAGTTTTTTATTTATTTTGATAAAAGAATAAGTAATTTTTCTAAAAGAAAAGCAAAATCCTAAGTGAAGGCTATTTATTCACTCGATAAATCAATATCATAAACAAATAGAAAAGATGAATTTAATACAATAAATCTCTTGAAAAATGTTAATCTTCTAATTTCAATTATAAGAAATATATATTACTTTAAATTTTGATTATGTTATAACTAGCTTTTATATTTAAATTAAGGATGCGGTAGATTATATTTTTAGATTATATTCAGGACTAAAATCTTATGCTAAAAAATTAAAAGAACATGGAATAAAACTAGTAATAATTTGCAGTACCTAGATAGTCGTTACTCTTGCCAAAGTCCTTGTCCCACACGGACAAGCATAGGGTTAGCTTCATTAGTTCCGTCAGTCGAGTCGCGAAAACGAACTCTTCGTTCCATTCTGGATTCAATGTCTTCCGCTTGATGCTCGTACTCTGCGATCCGCGGCCGGCCGTTTTCTTCAGCTTTTTGGCAGTAGCGCGATTGGCCGAATAATCTAGGAACCGTTGCTGCCGATGATTGTCGGTCGCATCTTCGACGAGTGCTAATTTGACGAATGGATCAGAAAACCCGTTGCTGTCCATGGGTAGGAGATTCGTGGCACGGTGTACCGTGACCAACAGTGCACGCCGACGTGTGCAGTAGCTCAGGCTTATCTGAATCTTCCCGCGACCGCTTGAACACATGCCCCAGATTTCCTCTTCGTTGTCCACCTAGATAATAATGATGACCAACACATTGTATACATTGTATACAGATATTTATTTTATATATTTTTTTATATACTTTGTATATGGAAATTTACTTAATGTAATACTTTAATGTTAATTTCAAATAAAGATATCTTGCCTTTATTTATTCTGTCATGTATATATCCAAATATAAAAGTTAATTATGTTACGAATAATTGAATTAGATCTAATTTCGCAAATGTAATTATATAAAATATATTTGTATATTTAGCATACTGGATAATGAGCTTGTAGAGAAACTTTGTAATGTTTTGTTTGATATGGTATCAATTCGTGTAGGGGGAATTTCGCCTCTCCCAAGAAGTCCTGGCCCGATGGATCGTCCTGGATGACTAAGATGTGCAAAGCTTTGCCGGTCGATATCTGCACGAGAGATTTTTAACGTTTATTACGTACATTTACAAACGGATTGATATTCATGCATTATAATTGTGATTTTTACATCGGTTTCCGTCGTTCCGTGAAAGTTCACCGTCTCGTTGAATTCGGGATCGCGCGTCTTGTGCACCGTCTTCGTTCGTAATCGTCTGCTCGTTGCTTTCTCGACGGGCAATATGTTCAGCTTGCAAAAAGGATCGGCGAGGCCTTGAATATCCATGGGCTTTAGACGACGTGCACGCTCCACTTTGCACTGGAGGCACTGATCTGCCGGGTCGTATCGCAAGGAGACTTCGAGAGTCCCATAATCTTGTTCCGTTTCTGTTTTATTAATTTTAGTTTAATTTTATTAATATTTTCAACATTCATTTCATATGTAATTTCTAAACTATACACGATTATTGGCCTTTTACCGCTAATTGCTCTTTAAAAATCTTTTTCGTATTAAAATTTTAATCATCTTTTATAAGATTCCAGACGATATTTTAAATAACACTTTACGGAAAATTTCATTTGCGTTTTTAGTTTAAAACGCAAGCTAAAACTTAAAGCTAAAATTATTTCTTTTTATTTATAATGCTATAATTATTTATTTATACTTTTGTTTTTAACAACGAAATTATTTAATGTTTTATTTAAGATAAGAAAGATAATTATTTAATTAAAAAGATGAAAACTTTACGTAATAATGAATTAATAAGAATTTAAATGACAAACAATTTTATATTAGCCAATAATTATGCAATTTTGAATATTCCTATGCTAAGACGCTTTTATTAACCTTGTGGATATTCCGGGGTTCTTGGCATCCTGACCTGACTGTTGCTGCGACTGCTGGAAGAGCTGTCCTGGTCCGAGCAGGATCTGCTCGCATCTCGTTCCGCATTCTTTTCGAGGATCTTGCCCATAGTCTGGAACCGTTCGACCGGTGTGGTCGGTGTCGTCGCTATCGTCGGCGTTTTTAGTCTACGAGATGGTGATTTTTTTTTGCGTAAGTTCAAACCTCTACCCCGCTCGTTAACGTCCTTACGTACCTGAGAGATTGTACCTGAGTGCTCTTCGATCGATCCATGGATGTAGAAATATCCTTGCGTGCCTCTTCGGTGTCCTCTTCCTCGTCATCATCTGCCTCATTAGCTTTTTCATCGTCTACAAAAATGTCTTCAAAAGACACGCGTTGTTCGACCTGCAGTCCGTTCGGGCTTTTGCCGCTTGCCCTCGAGCGAGGGGTGCTAATTGAACCCGTGGGCGAAAGTCGACTGCATTGAGACGCGATCGAGAGACAGGACTTGTCCAGTCTGTCGGAACTAGTATCCTCGCGATAACCCGAAGGTGACAGGCCATTTGGTCTTCCCCGAGGACTTCTTGGCGATGAAGTACTGGTAGCAGGGCTTGAAATTGTCAACTTGGTAGGAGTGCTTTCACGGTTGCTTGATAGATTTGTAGGTGAATGACCGCGAGTTACTGCGAGTCGCCGCGTTGCATCGTCGTCAGACGAGGAATCCTGGGCATCGGTTGAATCCAAGGATTTGCACGGTCCGCCGCCTATCGTCCATGTCGACGTTCTGTGACCGAGTCGACACCATCCTCTCTCCTACATAAAAATTCGTACTATTGTATCGATAAAACATACAAGAAAAATAGATCTAGAGATCTTTAAATATTTATCAATAATTTTATTACATATCTCATGCATATGCATTAATTATAAAATATCTTCTGCAATATATTTTTAAATAATTGACAAAACATGTTACATATGTATAGTATATATGAAAAAGAAATAAATATCAATAAATATGTATCAATATGTTCGAGTTTTACTATGTAAAATATGCTTTACGGAAATATGATTGTCATTATAGTGCGCTTCAATATCAGTATTAATAGCACGCGATGATTTGATTTTGTTTGATAGATAGATAGGAGTTAAATCTAAATCGATTTTAATTGGTTTTGCTATTTTTGGATTAGATATGACTATATCTGAATAAAATAAATTTTATAATTTTACAAGCTTGTATAGTAATTTAGAAAGACAATTTTACTTCTAGATTATTTTTTAAACTTTTTTGAAAGAGAAAAATCAAAATAATTTTAAACAATGTAGAGCACTAGATAGAAAAACACTCTCTCTCTTTTTCTTTTTTTTAAATTTAAATTTAGTTATCTTGTTGATTTTATTTCACAATTTTCCAGTTCTTCACAAAATTATTGCTAAGTGAGATTTTAGTTTTACGGAATTTACAATCGGAATTTAATTTACATATAGGATCTCTTCTATAATTTAAGATAAATATTTCTTTAACTAGAAAGCACTCTTAACAAACATATAAAAATAAGAAATATAATTAAAATAGATCATTTTTGTGCTGAATGTGATTTAAATGTATTATTAATGCAGAAATCTTTTTGTTTTCTTTCAAAGTTTTTTATATTCACATTTTTCCGCGCGCGCATGTACCTTCTTCTCCGGTAGAATATACTTCGGCATGCCTTTGAAGAACCAAGCACCACTCTTCTTCCACATCTCTCTGGTTTCGGCACAAATTCGACAGAGGAATTGCTTTTGCGCATTACCGTGAGACCTTTGGACAATTCCTTTAACGCTTCCTGTTCGTTCTTGAGCGAGTCTTATGACACGTAATGAGCTGCGCGATGAAGTAGTTGCATTATTTTCGTCGCCGTTTCCTTTCGATGGATTGAGTCTTGTGGCCTCGATGCCACATTTTTGGCAAATATATTTCCGACAGTCTTTGCAGAGATTCGCGCTCGCTCCTAGTACTGTGCCGAATTTTTCACCACAAAGTGCACACGAACAAACACAGCGAGCCCCGCCGGAGCATCGACTTCCGCAACTGCGTCTCTCGTTTGATCTGGTCGATGTTACAATGCATACATTCCGCTTCATATTTTCCAATCTCTCGACGAGCCTACCGACTCGCTCTTGCTCCGATAGATCGAGAGCTTCAGCCCTTTGTATTACCTATGGAAACATCTACTTGGAACCAGAGGTTGAAATTGATCTAATTGTGATAAGCTCGATTGAAGGGTGAACTTCTTGAGATTTTAAACATTTATTTTATTGATTAAAAAATTTATTTATACTCAAATTTTTAAAAAATGCATTATGTCATTAAAACAAATTAAATTCTTCAATTTTTCTCTTCTATAGAATATTCTCTTCTATAGAATAACGGAATATATCAATCTTATTTTTTTATAATCAACATACAACTCATTTTCCTGTGTCTATAATATGAAAAATATTATTTTATGAATAAATTTTAACTCTTGCTTGAAACTGCAATTACACGTGTAGTTTCTCGGCCAAAGTGGAAAAATAAAACTTGTATAATCAAGTCGATTAGACGAGAGTGGTTGTTAGGGATACTTTTGTCCGTACGGAAAAGAGCTTTGAAATTATTCAGTGCCTACATAAATAGCTTAGAACTATGGGCTTTCTTAAATATTGTGTTTTTCTTTCTTTGTGTTTTTCTTTCAAATATGGATGTTATTTTAGTGCCGTTATTATTTTAAATCGTAATCTCAATAATAATTTCAATCTCATAAATAATAAATATACTTATTTTTTAAAATAATATATTTCCTTTGTGAAAGAAATAATTTAGTTTTACTAAAATTTTGATTTTAATTAATACCAATCGAGTTGGAAAACAAGATCGAAATTTATCATAAATATATAGTCTTTTATTGTAAGGTTTACCTGGATAATGGTTTTTCGTTCATCGTCAGTGAGCAAGAAAGATTGTCCGCAACGATTGGAATTGCTCGTGCAGGAATTTGGATATTCTCCCCACCCATGGGATTCGAAAGATCCCGTTTTTACAGACCATCCTGTCCGCAATCTGTATCATTTTAGCATAATTATTTATTATAGAGTGAGTTACTCTTAAAGATTTTATAATTTATTTACAAACATGTAACAATAAGAAGATTTCATTATTTTGTGCATTTTCTTTAAAATAAATTTAGGGCCATACCTTATTTAATTAGAAAAATTAGAAATATTCTCTCTAATATGAATAAATTTTAGATAGTTTATCAAAAGTAAAAGAATAGTCAAGAATAAAGAATTGTAACTTTTTTATAAGCGTTTTTTTGTTTAGAACTTCAAACAATAAAACTAGATATATTTTATTTTGATCAAATATCTATTGAAGCAAACCAGATATATTTAAGTTTGAACAGAAATTCTAAAAAGAAATTAATAATCTAAAAGATATTTCAGATAAAAGTTTTATATTTTAATTTAATATTTTTTTACAACTGTGTGTATACATAGGACTTTTCAAAATAATATATTTTTTACAAATTTCTGTT